TCGCTTGTGGTAACCATCGGTCCCAATCATTTTTAGTTGTATAATGTTTGATATAATCTGTTAGAACTTGATGACTTCGTTCTAGACCACCGTTTGCTTGTGGTCTAAACGCAGTTGTTTTTATTTGTTTGATTTTAAATGTTTTTGCTAAACAAGTCATAACTTTTCCTATAAAAGCTTGACCTTGGTCAGTTAAAATAACTTTTGGACATCCAAATTTACAGATAAAATGTTCTACTAAGGCTTCTACAATATCTTTAGCAGTCATTGTTACTAATGGTATCGCGAAACAAAATTTTGAAAGATCGTCTTGCATGGTTAGAATATAAGAATAACCATTTGCTGACGTTTTATTCGGAACTACTATATCTAATGCTAATTTATCCCAAATTTGCGCTAATGTATCTGTAATCACCATCGGCTGTTTCGTTTTTATTCTTACTAATTTCTTTTTCTGACAACTTATGCATTTGCGTACAAAGTCTTCTACCTGGATTTTTATATTATCCCAAAAATATCTCTGTCTAATTCTATTGTATGTCTTTGTCACTCCTTTATGACCTGCCATTGGAGTTTCATGATTTTCGAACATGATTTTATATCTGTCTTCCACCGGATGAATTATAATGAAATCTCTACAAATTGTGAATTTAATTTCTGTTCCTGCAAAAATTTTAGTGATAATACTTTTTATTTTAGACCAAACGGTTTCATTTAAGTTACTTCGAGCTTGTGAAACGCTAATGGTTTTAATATTATTATTTAATAGACAAGTCTTTAAATTTTTGAAAGATTTTAAATAGTCTATTCTCTGTCGGATTATCTTTGCTATTACTTTGTGTTACTAAAGCGATTACCTTTTTTCTAGAAGTACCCATTTTAATTATATCGCCTAATTTATATGTACTATTTGGCTTTAATTTATTTAAATATCCTAACTCTATAAGTTTCTTTCCAATATTGCTATGTACTGTACCGTCTGCATTTATAAAACATAAATAACTATTTTTCTGCATTTCTAAATTATCTTTTGTTTCTAATATATTTTTGTTACTAAAATCGTCTGAAATATTCGAAAAATCTGAGTCTGTTGAATTATCATCCGAATCATTATCATCATCGGGTGAATCGTCATTATTGTCATCAGGCGAATCGTTGTTGTTATCTATAGGTCGAGCGTTATTATCGTCACTACGTTGATCGTTGTTGTCATCACTAGATCGATCATTATCGCTGCCATTAGGTTGATCATTATTAATTTCACCAACCAATGCTACTGCATTATTTATATTATTAGTCTTTTCTGTATCAGGATCTAATTGTTGCAAATTTATTCGGTTACTATTATCGTCATTTTGTCTGTCATCGTCGGAATCGTCTATGTGTGAAGCGTTTATTGTTTGATTTGAATTGTTTTGAGTTTCGTTTAATGTTGTATTATCGTTTTCGGGATTTTCTGTAACTGGAGTGGGTAAATTAGGATTTTTGAAATCTGTTTGTACGTCGATACGATCGAAATTTATTTGATTTTGAGCTTGGCTCGTTTTTTGTGAATTTGAATCTTTTTTGGAATTTAGTGGGATTAAGGAATTTATGTTTTTATTATTAGCGATATTATTTTCAGCTATTGTTGATAATTTTCTTTTTGTTTTCTGAATTTTATTTGTATTTGAATTACCGTTATTATTATTATTATTTTTGAGTGCGTTTAACGTTACCATTATGTCTGGTAATTTAATGTTTTTTTGTCTTTTTGTAATTTTATTGTTAAATTGTTTATTTTGAGTTTTCTTTGAAAGAGTATGCATTATTTTTGTCTGTGTAATAAGTGTTGAAGGTAATTGTTCAACAGATGGATCTACTGTCATTGACTGTGTCGCGTTTGAAATTTCTTGTATGTTTTCTGTAGACATATTATTATCATTATTATTATTAATAATAGCTTTAACTGTTATATGTTGCGGGTAATCGCCACCTGCGTCTGAGGACCACGGTATGGCACCTCCCATATCTTCTAATTTACGTTTAATTAATTTATTCGGTGTTCTTTGAGGAATTGGAATTGTTTCTATAGGAGATTCTGAACTTATATCGTTTGAATTATTTGAATATATTTTAGATTCTACGATTTATGATTCTTCAGTATTTGATTCGTCATCTGAAGTATCGATAATGCTAAACGTCGTTTTACTAATATTTTTATTAATTCTTTTACGCATACGAAATATTGGAAACGGTGTAAAATCCGCGAACTTTTGTGTTCTCTTATATTGAAGAGGAATAAATCTATTTTTGAATTTATTATTTTCAATTTTTGTATTTAAGTTTGGAGTAAATTGTGTAGATGTCGTTGGTATGTCTGTGTTTTCTGTAGGTGGTAATGTAGGTTCTGTGATTTTTGTGTTTTTGGATTTTTGTGTTTGGGAATTTTTGGATAATGGATTTTGTTTTTGTGAATTATTTTTATTTGAAGATTTATTTGAATCTTTATTTATGTATGATAAGTCGAAGTCAGTCATGTCTGATTCTTCATTTGATAATAAAACTTCATTATTTCTAATGAGTTTCTTTCTTAACGTTAATGCGTCAATTACATTACCCGATACTGATGATGATGATTCATCAGAATAGTCAGGTAAATTACTTACATTACCTACCATGCTAAATTTATTTTCTGTATTTGATGATTTTAAATCATTATTTGATTTATCGTTTTGATTATTATTATTTGATGAATTTTTATTTTTTTCTGAATTCATTTTGTTATCTGTATATGCTAAATTTAATTTTGAATTTATGTTTTTGTTTTTGTTATTTGATTTATCGATAGGGTGTGAAATAAACCGTTTTTCGTTTTAGTCGGAGTTTTCACTAATCCTAACTTTATTTGATCCCTTTGAAAATGACCGTTGATTTATAGGGTAGCTACTCCTATTTTCATCGCGTATTTCCGAAGGTATTTCAGAAAATTGAAAAATAAATTGCACCGCCTAATTGATTAAGAATATCATTAATTAGGGGCAATGGATATGCATCGCCAGTAGTTTTCTCATTTAATTTACGATAGTCAATTACTAGTCTGTATTTTATTCTGCCTTGAGAGTCTTTTTTCTTAGGTATGATAAATAAAGGTGAATTGTATGGAGAGGTAGATGGTTCGATAACATCCATTGACAGAAGTTCAGTAACTTGTCTTTCGATTTCTTCTCTATGTGAAGGAGGATGCCTATATTGTCTAATATTTACCGGTATATCGTCTTTAGTAGGTATGATATGTTAAGCTACTGATGTTGCTTGCAAATTTTCTCCCGGAATGCTAAAGAGGTCAGCATATTTTTCAATTAATGAAATTATTTCTTTACGCTCTTCGTCATTCAAATGTTCTAAACGCAAGAGACTTAATACATTATCAACGCGATTTTCCCGGGCCCTGGTACTTTTATTATCTTGTTGATCTGTTTCATCTTGCGATAAGCAAGTGCTACCTTCTTCACTTGTTTCAAAAGGATACAAGGAGATTATTGGCACTTTTACTTTGACACTTTTACTAAGAGTATTTATTGCATACAAATAAGCTATACCATTACGATTACTAACTATTGCTTCACCAGCAAAAATACCGTCACCTAAATCTATACGAGGCACGTATCCTTCACTAAGATTGTTATCTACTCGAACAAACATTGCTGTTTTAGTTCTAGGTTTTAAGACAATATACTGTTCTTCTGTTAATGAGATTTCTAAATTATTTAATTTTGTGAAAGTTACTGTATTTTGAACCAAATCGATTATGCCGCCTTGTTCGCGAAAAAATTCCAAACCGATTATGCCAGTGT